GCTGCGCCCGCCTGCCCCGCCCGGCCCCGGCCCCCTCCCCGACCCGCTCCTGGCCACAGCTCAGCGCACCCACCCCCGCCCGCCCGCCGCAGGACCCACACCTGCGTCGCTCTAGCCGGCAGGCCCTGCGAAACCGCGCCTCTGGTCTTGGTTCCCGACACGCGGAGCCTGTTTGCACCTGCCGAGGCGCCTCCGGGGCCCTTGAACCCCGAGCCCTTCTTCCTGCCTTCCTGAGGCCTGGGTCACCCTGAATTCACAGCCACATCCCAGCAGGGGACCCGGGGCAACTTCATCTCCAAGATGAGGACAGCACCTTACTGGCAGGAGCCATCGCGTGCCTGAATGTGCTAATCAATGTGGGTAAATGGCCAGGCACCTGCAACTGCAGGACAGGTAGCAGCTGAAATCAGAGTTCTTAAACTTGGGCTTTCCTACCAGATTATAAAACAGCGTCTTCAGGATCTCGATGGTCAACAGATTTTTTTCAATTTAATATATAAACTCCGCACCAAATCCAATTATTATGGTTTTGTTGAACACAGCACCAAAGTTTAAACACAAAATCACGAGAACCACTGATGGAACCCAAGTCTTTTACAAACCTATTTTGTTGCTCTATTTTATTCATATCTTAAAAGAAATAACATTTTCATTTACTCATTTTTCTTTTTCTTTTCATTTTTCTTTTTTGTGTTCTACTTCCGTAATATCAACTTTCCTCTTTGTTAATTCTGTTTTATCATTAGTTTGATAGTTTATTGAATTAAATACACAGTTCCTTTATTTTTAGTATTTTTGTTAATAAAATATTAATGACTATAAATTTTCCTGAGTATAGCTTTAGCTGTATGCATTAGGGTTTCATTGGAGATGTAGTTTACATACAGCAAAAGGCACATAGCTTTTTTTGTCCTCTACTGTTTTATTGAATACTTTTAAAAATTGAGATGGGAAATTCCCTGGCGGTCCAGTAATTAGGGCTCCCCGCTTTCACTGCGGAGCGTGCGGGTTCAATCCCCGGTCGGGGAATTAAGATGCCGAAAGCCACGTGGCCTGGCAAAAACAAAATTCATTTATAAAAAAAAGTGAGATGAAATAGATATAACATAAAATTAAACATTTTAAGGTGTACAGTTCAGCAGTACTTGCTGCATTCACAATGCTATACGGTCACCACCTCTACCTAGTTTCAAACTCTTCTACTGTTTTTAATATTATATTTATGCCTCATTGGTAAATAGAAAATCCAATGAGTTAAACGTTGTGTAGATCTCCCTCAGCAGATAATTGACATTTTACTAAATGATTTTTTTTTTTTAAACAAGAGTAGCTAAGAGATACTCCATCTGTTTCACCTTTTTCTTCTGCTGCCACCTTTGGGTCGGTTTATGACTTCACTCAGGGGGTAAATTTCAAATAAATCTGATTTAACTTTTTAGTAAGTTTGTTTAAAAACTTTTTTACAGTAGGTATTAGATAGAAGAAAGGAAGATGAAGTAATTGATATGGCTAAAGTGCCATTTTGTGAGTCTTTTTTAGTTTTTTACTTTTATTTTTTTGAAGTATAGTTGATTTACAATGTTAGTATCTGGTGCACAGCAGAGTGATTCAGTTACACATATATATATTCTTTTTCATATTCTTTTCCATTATGGTTATCACAGGGTATTGAATACAGTTCTCTGTGCTCTACAGTAGGACCTTGTTATTTAACCATCCTATATACGGTAGTTTGTATCTGCTAATCCCAAACTCCCAATCCAACACTGCCTGCCCCCCTCCCCCTTGGCAATCACAGGTCTGCTCTCTCTGTGCATCTGTCTCTGTTTCATAAATAAGTTCATTTATGTCATATTTTAGATTCCGCATATAAGTGATATCATATGGTATTTGTCTTTCTCTTTCTGACTTAATTCACTTAGTATGATAAACTCTAGGTCCATCCATGTTGCTGCAAATGGCATTATTTCATTCTTTTATGGCTGAGTAGTATTCCATTGTATATATATGTACCACATCTGTATTCATTCATCTGTTGATGGACATTTTAGGTTGTTTCCATGTCTTGGCTATTGTAAATAGTGCTATGAACAGAGGGGGTGCAAGTAGCTTTTTGAATTATAGTTTTGTCCAGATATATGCCCAGGAGTGGGATTGCTGGATCACATGGCATCTCTACTTTTAGTTTTTTGAGGAACCTCCATACTGTTTTCCACAGTGGCTGCACCAACTTACATTCCCACGAACAGTGCAGGAGGGTTCCCTTTTCCCACACCCTCTCCAGCATTTGTTATTTTTAGACTTTTTAATGATGGCCATTCTTTTATTTTTTTTTTTAAAGATAGATTTTATTTATTTATTTATTTTTGGCTGCATTGGGTTTTTGTTGCTGCATGGGCTTTCTCTAGCTGTGGCGAGCAGAGGCTACTCTTTGTTGCGGTGTGTGGGCTTCTCGTTGCGGTGGCTTCTCTTCTGCGGAGCACGGGCTCTAGGCGCACAGGCTTCAGTAGTTGTGGTGCATGGGTTCAGTAGTTGTGGCATGTGTGCTTAGTTGCTACGGGGCATGTGGGATCTTCCTGGACCAGGGCTCAAACCCGTGTCCCCTGCATTGGCAGGCAGATTCTTAACGACTGTGCCACCAGGGAAGTCCCTGTATATCTTCTTTGTAAAATGCCTGTTGACAGGCACTAAATTGGCTTCTTTGATGTATAGGAGTTCTTTATGTCTGGATATGAGTTCTAGGCCAGACATATATCATCTAAAATATATTCTCTGAGTCGTGGCTTTCCTTTTCACTTTAATATCTTTGGATGAGTAGAAATTTTTTTATTTTGGGTATTTTCTTCTGAGAAAATTCAACTTGTGAATTACTTATTTTATGGTTAGAGTTTTTCGTGTCAGGTTTAAAAAAAATCTTTGTCTACCCCAACGCTCACGATTTTCTCCTATCTTTTCTTCTAGAAGCTTTGCAGTTTTAGCTTTTTAAAAAAAAAAAAAATTATTTATTTGGCTGCACGGGTCTCATTTGCCACACGTGCGATCTTCATGGCCATGTACGGGATCTTCTTTTTTTGTTTTTAGTTGCGGCATGTGGACTCTTAGTTGCAGCATGTGGGATCTAGTTCCCTGACCAGAAATCAAACCTGGGCCCCCTGCATTGGGAGCACACAGTCTTAACCACTGGACCAACCAGGGAAGTCCCCACAGTTTTAGCTTTCATACGTAAGTGTATGATCCAACTCAAATTAATTTTGCATATAGTGTGAGGTAGACACCAGGTTGTTGTTGTTGTTTTCCTCCATATTGATATCCTGTGGCCTGTGTCTCAATCCTCTATTCTGTTCTATTGAGCTACTTACCTTTCCTTACACCAAGACCACTCTGCCTTAATTACTTAGTCTTGGAATCAGAGTAAGTCCTTCAGATTTGTTCTTCAAAGCCAATTGTCTTGGCTTTTCTAAGTCCTGCTCATTTCCACATGAAGTATAAAATCAGCTGTTAATTTCTACAAAAAAAATCTGCTTGACACTCTACGCTATCAACCATATTCCTATGAAAATCCCTCAGTTCCTCCAACTTAATACTCCTAACTTCATTCCTTTAATTTTCATTCTTTCACTACTGCTCTTCTGCGAGCGAGACCAACTAATATCTTTCATATTATTCTAGTTACTCCTTGATTGAATCAAATCAACTTCATTCATTCCTAGAGTCAGACTGTTCCAAGAACATACCTTTTTAATCGCCTTCTTGGGTTTTGGACGTGCAATAACTTTGTTTTCTCCACCTCAAGCCAACTTAATGGTATAATATCTTTAAAATAAAACTCTGGGGACTTCCCTGGTTGTCCAGTGGTTAAGACTCCACGCTCCCAATGCAAGGGGCGCAGGTTTGATCCTTGGTCGGGGAACTAAGATCCCACATGCTGCACGGTGGAGCCAAAATAAAATAAACCCTGGCACAACGTTGTAAATCAACTATACCTCAAAAGAAAATTTTTTTAAGCCTAATTCATGTTTTTCATTTTTACTTGTTATATCCATTTGTTTTATTTTTTAGACTCCACATATAAGTGATAATACACAGTATTTGTCTTTCTCTGTCTGACTTATTTCACTAAGCATAATACCCTCCAGGTCCATCCATGTGGTTGCAGATGACAAAATTCATTATTTTTTATGTAAGGAAACAGATTGCTGTCCCTGAAAAGAAGGCTGAAGTGGTAATTTAACTATGGCTGCTCTTCAGGGACTTTTATATAAAGGATACTGACTAGTCATTATACATCTCCACTAAAGAATGAACAAATTAAAACCAATTTTAACTGCAAAAAAAAATTCGTTATTTTTTGTGGCTGAGAAGTATTCTATTTTATATATATCCCATCTTATTTACAGAGTTCTTTATAGTGTTCTGCTTATGTTTTCTTCTAGGAGTTTCATGGATTCCAATCTTACATTTTAGGTCTTCAATCCATTTTGAGTTTATTGTTCTATATGCTGTGAGAAAATGTTCTAATGTCATTCTTTTACATGTAGCTGTCCAGTTTTCCCAGCATCACTTATTGAAGAGACTGTCTTTCCCCCACTGTGTATTCTTGCCTCCTTTGTCATAGATTAATTGACCATAAGTACATGGATTTATTTCTGGGCTCTCATTATTTTCATTTTTAAATTGGGCTGAACCTTGCACACACTGAAGTGTTTTCACATATACGCATACCTTTGTAACCACCACCCGGACCAAAACAGAGAACATTTCCAGCATCTCAGAAGGGTCCTTTGTCCCCCCACCCAATCAGTGCACCCAAGGATTACCACTCCTCTTGCTTTATCACCATGATTCTGAACTACATATAAATGCATTCATACAATATGTACCCTTGTGTATAACTTCTTTTACTCAATGTTATGTCTGTGAGTTTCATCCATGTTGTTGTATGAATCCATGATTTGTTCATTTTCATTGTTGTGCAGTATTCCAATATATGAATATACCACATTTCATTTATTCTTTCTACTGTTGAAGGACATTTAGAGTGTTTCCAGGTTGGGGTTATTATAATAAGGCTGCTGTGATTTTTTTTTTTAAACAACCATTTTATCTTTCTGACGATCTCATGGGACAAGAATTCAGGAAGGACTTGGCTGGACAGTTCTTGCTTGGAGTCTCTTGCACAATTCACTGGGATGTCTGCTAAGGCCACAGTCACCTGAAGGCTCACCAGGCTGGATGTCAAAGATGGCTTCACTCACATGCTGTAACTGATGCTGGCTGATGGCTGGGAGATCAACTGAGCTGTCACCTGGAGCACTTACCCATAGCCTCAAC